TAATCTCCCTGGTAAAATATATAGCTGACATTGGATGCTTGATATGTACCCAGTAACATTTGTTTCCTCCATATCTTTCTAAAAGAGGATTGGTTTCGATGGACTCGAGGGTATCCGAGAGAGTAAGCAATGCCATCAGTAAGATATCGCTTGGTTTATCATTACTATTCATATCCCCCTCTCCGGTTTCATTAGATGCTATGACTGCAACATCTCGTGTGAACCCGTATCTCTCACTGGAATCTGGTTTACGGATCTCAGCAAAGGAACACATGCCACAGTATTTTCTTTCTTGTCGGAGAACAATGTAAATATGCACAACAGAGTCCTTTTTAATTAAGTTCTCAGAGAGACTATCGTAATAGGTTATCATTTGTTTGATCTCTTTACCATGCAACTCCTGTTGTTCCTCGGAGTCATACCCTTCAAGGCGCTCATAAATGGTCTTGTTTTTTGCAAAACTTGCTACATTATCTCCGGTACGTACGTTTATATAATAAACATATTTAGACTTCTCCGATTGTGTTCCTGTATCGTAGTAATCATAGCTTGTTGGTGTGATGTAATCAGAATAATTAGTATCCATGTTGTTATTACTTTAATTTTATTTAAAAAAATTACTGACGCCAAATCGTCGTCAACCTTGATTTTATAATAAAGTTATATAGTACAGGTTTTATACAATTATTTATTTAATACGACTTGCCATATTTTATTTGTTAACTCAAATTGATTATCTTTCCTATCCATCCAAGATTCTAAAAAAATATTATCGATGATGATTTTATTGTCTGGAGACACTTATTCTTCTCATCTAAGAGATATAATACTATTTTGAAGAATATCATTTTTGCAAGAGAGCCATTGAGAAAAAAATATAGGAAGTGGTATTTTTTCGTCTATCTTAAATTAACTTATAATACAAACAACGATGATAAAGATATTATATTAAAAGAGATTAAAAAATACATTCCGATAACCATCGAACCGTGGATTATTATATCGCTTGTCGAATTTATCATAGGTGATGAATATAAATATTTTTTTGAGTATACCACCCAAATGTTAGAATACGATATTAGTTCTTATCAATATAAAATGGTCAAGTGGTTGGCGAACATAATCATTAATCGTAATGATGATAAAATAATCTTAAGGCTCATCCCACAATCTCAAAAAGATGAATTGAGATTTAGTCTGTACGCAGAAATCACGATCGGTATTTATAGTGATATAATACGAAGAATAAATTTTGATAAAATGGAAGAAGAAGGGTTTAAAAATGATGTTAATGTTACTTTG